CACGCCTCTGGCGAGTTGCCTTATTCCCAAAATTATATCTTTTTGTACATAAATAAATAAAACTCTACAATTCACCGTTTAACAACAGTATACCGTACAGTGCGGACCATAGTACCCCCTATAAAAATTTTTCGCCGTTGAATGCAAGATACCCGGGTACTTTAAAGTGTGAAATACCCGGGTATTAACTATTATTAACTATGTAGATATATTATTTCTATATAAAATACACCTCTTATACCTCTTATATCATACCCGGGTACTAACTTGGATTTTAGCCGTGGAATATATCATACCCGGGGTACTATAGTCCACGCTGTACGGTAATAATTTTTTTTTACATACACAAAACTAGTTTGAGTAAGAGAAACAGGTATATAAACATAGTATCTGTTTATATTGTATTATTCTCTCTTTACGTATGTAACTAAATCCTTTAAACAGTGTGGTGATTAAGGTTGGCGATTCAGAAATTGGCAAAACTAGTTTGATGCGTAAATTTGCTGAAGGTTATTTTGATGAATATTATAACCAAACCTATGGTAATGACTCAACGTTATCTTATTAATTTAAAATGGCTTTAAAATTTCAAACTTCTTTCAATTAATATTTCTGAGTTAACTTAGCGTTGATTATAAATCCGGACAATTTTTTTCATTGGCTTGTCTGTCAGGATTTTGACCACTATTTTTTCATATTGTTCTTGATAAAATAGGTCACCTGAATTTATTTCTTAGTACGTGCGTGTACAACATGCTCAATAACTGATAAGCTTAATAAGTTTGTGCAACTTAATTGCATTAGTTTATTGAAATCTCAGATAATTTACAAAAATCATTGCTTAAATGAAATCACAATAAAAAAAACAATTTCGATGTTGTCTCTATTTAAGCTATTTAAGCTTACATTTTTTAGGGAGACATATGCTGCTAAACATAGAACAAACTATCTATCATGCTGATCAATGCAAAAAAGATGTTCTCACTTTCAATCTTCTTAGTATTTAGATTTGTCCTATTGTCGTAAAATATTATTTTTAAAATCTACATGATGAATTTTCACCATAGCTATCTATTCTTCAGCCATTTAAGCTTATGATGAGGTTCATCGTGAAATTTGGGGGTCATATAATTTTTATAATTGATTACATGTAATTGTTGATTTCATTTAAGTAATGATTTTCTCTGAAAAAGATGGTATAGCGTATGTATCTGGATGTTATCAGACATTATTAACTATTTCACGTTTATGATTAACGCGCCTAAATATGATTTAAAAGCATAGTTAATATTATTTTTGGTTGATCAAGATTTGTCATCAAATTTATTGTGAAAATTTGCCTAATATCTTTATTAATAATGTAATATGGATATTTTGGGGATATTTGTCATCAAGCATTTATTTATTTGTAGATAACGATATGGTATGATGTTTTCCTGCCCACTCAAATTTGTTTTGAACTCTTTTCACATAGTTAAAAGGAGAAATAGATGCAAATCTATTTTGTATTAAACTAATCGCTACTGCATTATTGGGTTAGATGTCGATGATTGTTTACTGTAAAATAAGCTTTTTTGATGCACGGTATAGCTTGTTCCTCTTTTATAATAACAATATGCAGTATAGTATTTTTCTCTCTATAAATGCGCACCTTTACCTTTCTTTTATCAGTGTGTATATTAAGAGGTTTGACAGGTAATTTTTTACTTATAGTACCAAATGTTGGTTCAACAAACTTTTTTTACGTGAGAATTCAATTTAGCATGACTTTTCAGAAACATTTGTTTACGTATGTAGAATACAATACAGTATGATTCTAAGTTACCATTTATTTTTAGTCCGAAAGCATGAATGTTTAGATCTCTAAATAAAAAAATAAAACAAAAAATAGGTATTTCTTCATAAAAATAACTCCTTACGATTATTATAATGGCAAATTTAACGTTAAAACAATAACCCCGTGTTTGTAAAATTTCTATTTGTCTTAAAATGGATTAATAAACGGTTTAACCAAATTCGTAATTCTATTAGGGTAATTCTATTAAGTTTTCGGTTTTCAACAGGAAAAACTCCAATGAAATATCAAAGATATTGTCTAAACATGAAAAATTTTCAATACATATTTCAATATTATTTAATATAAAATGGTATCAAATTTATTATTTGCATTTTTGATTCAATCATCTTGCGATAATGATGGAAGAATTTTGTTCCATGTTTATGGTTTCCGAATCGTCACTCATTTCAGTAAAAGGTCAGGAAAAAAGCCAAAAACAAAGAAAGAAAAACAAAGCACCATGTCCTCCAAATTCTTTTATACTATATAGAAAACACCAACAATCCAAAATTAAAAAAAAACATAAAAACTTGACAAATGCTAATATATCCAAGGTTGTCTCTAAAATGTGGCAAAATGAATCCGAAGATGTAAAGTTTCAATTTGAAAAACTTGCAGATCAAATGAAGGTCGAACATCAAAATGCTTATCCCAACTATGAATATCGGCCAAAAAAAAAAACACAAAGGTGGCATCCACACAGATTTAATTCCCTTCCTAATAAAAAAAGTAATTTACCTGATGAAGACATTACTCAAATAGCCAAATCTGCTATGTTGAATTCAAACCCTTCATATCTTTCTCAACCACCACCTTTATCACCACCTCCATCATTTATTCTAGAAGAAGAGTTTTTGAATTATTCTACAACTGTTGATTTTTCACCTTATATTGAACCATATAATTTGATTGAATTTAACTTTTTTGATTCCATCATGAATTAAAAAAAAATTTTTAACAAGTCTAAATTATTTTAGCAATTTAATCAAAATCTTTATATACAGTGCAGTGTATAGTATCTTTTTATAAAGGTATAAAGGTCTAAATACACACTAAAAGATTTTTGTCATCAAATTCAAATATCACATAAACATCCTGTTAACAATAATTTTATTCTTGATAGCATTTATCATTATAAGCATATTAAATTTTTGTTTTATTAATATACGTGTTTTTGGACTTTGGGCTTAGATATCCTAGCAAATTGACCATTAGGTATTTAGTAAAACTCCTTTATTAAGAATTTTTGAGAAATATGGTTCAAAACTAAAACTGTTTATTGTTGGGTTCATCAAACGTTTTTCAGGTTCAGACTTCCAACATATTGGAAGTCTGAACCTGAAAACCGTCTGACGGCTAATTTAATTCAACAATTAAACTTTAATATTAAGGTTAGGTTTATCTTACTCCATTTGCAGACTTTTTTATCTTTCTGCGTCTTTATATTAACCTAACATGAAAAAATTTGTGTTAAAAATTTTATATATGAAACATAAAAAACAAAAAAAATCTAAGAAAAACAAATATCTTGATCTAACAGGACAATGATAATTCTCATGTTTCTCATGCTAGCATTCCATTTTTGGATTTCAAAAATTTATTTTATTATCCGTGAGAAAAAAAATGAATTAGTTGGGAGCGAAAGTTTTTTTTTATTGCAAAAATACGTACTATTTAATTTTATTTCAAAATTGTATGTATAAACAATCTAAATATTATTTGTTTTTTAATTTCTGAAGTTCGTAAGTATAAAGAGCATCTATTAATCTAAGATATTCAAAGTTAAAAATTGCTTCATAGTTCCGGGCAGAATTATTTGGTAATGGGCCGGAATTACTTTAATTCCGGCCCAAATTAAACAGGTAAACGATTAAGAAAAATTTTAGTTGGTTCCAATCCCTAGTGGTTTCTTCCCCTTGAAACGGTACTATTTTATAATATAGCTCTTCAATTAATCTTCTTGTTTTTGGAATTTTTGTTAAAATTTGATGAATAAGTCGAATAGATTTATTATAATATAAAAATTTTTAAAAACCATGACCCACCCAGCTCCAAGTCAATAAGATTTATTAGAAATTTTATTATTACATAGTACTGTATTATATCGATAAAAAAAATATAAATAAAGTGTGTCATTTTTAACGTCATTTTTAACATACTAAGTTTTCAAATAATTTAATGTAGCTAAAACAAATTTTAAAAAAGCTGAAGATGAATATCTCAAAATTCTAGCTCATTAGAATCGTCTTATTAAGACTAGTTGTTTCATTAACCTGTATAGTTTCGTTATTCGTCAGTGACAAACTTATAGTTTCATCTATAATATGATCAAACATATAAAATGTTTTAAAAAATTTTATCTTTATTTACTACACTTTTTTCCTCTATTTAAATATAAAAAAAATTCAGTTCATACTCCGACAGCAACTAGATACTTGAAAACAGGTGTCAATTTTCTTTATTATATACGTAAAATAAAATAAAAATAAAATCCAACAAAATAAAAGAATAAAATTATAAAATAAGCTAATTTTAATTCCTATAGCATAGTAAAAAGACTATTAGCTTTTTTGACCCAAAAATTAAATTTAGCTTGGAATATTGATTTTATTTAACCTTTTTCTCCTCAATTTTTTTTCTAAATTCGCTAGGTATAGTTGTAAAGTTTCCATATCTTGATCTTTTCTTTTTTGTAAGTCTTCATACAGTTTCTCTAAATCAGCGTAGT